ACATGCGCACTTACATATGCGATTTCTCTTTTTCTTTACCATTATCGTTAGCTACTTCTATTGTTCCATTTATTAACATTAAATAACATTACTTAAAACAACCATATTAATTTTACTACAGCTACAACCAAGGTCTTATTTTCTTCAGTTTTATATGTAGAACCAGTCAGTCACTGGTTTTGTAATCAACGAAAACAATACTGTGTCATTTCCTCATGTGTTTTAATTTTCTACGTATTATTAATGAATTGTATTGCTCATTTTGCACATATAAACATTAATTCAATAAAAAAGACATTCAGTAATAAACAATAATGAATCTTTTGTACATAAGAGAAATGACGCTGTTTACACGATTATGCACGTTGTCTGCACGTTGGCGGGCCGTTCAAACCCGTCGAAATTCAAGTTTCCGCCGTCAAAATTTTTATATACAGTGACCCCTCCGTTAACGAACTCAATCCGTTCCAGAAGGTCGTTCGTTAACCGAAAAGTTCGTTAACCGAAACCATTGTTTCAATGGGTTTTTGGGTAATTGGTTCCAGCTCACCGAAAATTTCCTAAATTCAACAAAAATGGTAGAAAAGTTCACTTACTTTGAGGTGTGTATGTAGAAGGCTCCTGGATGATGATGATGATGATGGGATTTAGAATGGGGGTCGAGGAGAAGGACGAAGAGAAGGCATTGGGGTGGAAGAGAAGTCACCCCATGGCGCCATTTCACCCATAAAATTTTAGCTGTCTGGTGTAATTCAAGATTATTTTCTTTAAATCAACACTGCACTGCATTATATATTGTCAATATGTAAAATATATTTCAAAATGACCAATAATTTGCTTGGAAACACAGAAAAAAAGCGTTTAGTTGAAGAGAGTCTCAAGCAGGATGTTACCTCCAGTGAAAACAGAGAGAGACTAACTTCTGTTTGCTGTGTTAAGAGGCTGGATGCCGCGCATTAAACTAGTCACTTTACCTTCAATTATGTTCAATAATTGTTAAAATGACTAAAAAATTGAATATTAAACTTTTAAAATTATTGAATAGTATAAACTTCTTGATATTTACTAAAATAGTAAGTAATTTAAGCCCTAGAACCGATTAATGTATTGGCGGACTGATACTAAAGCTGGTTGCCCGGTCAGTGCAAGCGAAAACATGTTGAGGTCGGTTCTTAAGAACTTCGTTAACCGAATTTTTTTTCGTTAACCGAATTGAAGATCCTTATGGAAGGCAGTTCGTTAATCGAAATTACGTTAACCGAGGTGTTCGTTAAACGAGGGGTCACTGTATTTATTTTTTTGTGTGTTCCAATAAAATACGTTAAGAATTAAAAACTCGCAAAATTTGAGAAGCTACTATACGACATTTAACCCTTCAATATGTCTTCAAAGAGACCATGATGCAGAGAAAGTGGTGCTAGTGCTTCCAGGCATAAGCACAAGTCACTATCTATCCAGGAAAAGGGTGAATTTCCATGGTCCGGCACCGGTCAGGTCCCGAGGTTGCTGGACTAGAGAGGTACAACCTGTAATTATAATTATAATTATTATTATTATTATTATTATTATTATTATTATTATTATTATTATTATTATTATTTATTATTTATTATTAATTATTATTTATTAATTATTATTATTATTATTATTATTATTATTATTATTATTATTATTATTATTATTATTATTATTATTATTATTATTATTATTATTATTATTATTATTATTATTAATTATTATTATTATTATTATTGGCCCCAATGTGGGTCAGTGACCTGTGCCCAGGTGGGCTGATCCCTGAAAAAAAAAAAAAACTAACCATTCTGAAAACCGAAAAATTCCAAAAACCGAAATGCATCTGGTCCCAAGGATTTCGGATAAGGGATTGTCAACCTGTACATACATACAATTCTGTATAGGTTGTGTGACAGGAGGTTTGAAATATTGTCTAATTGTTAAAAGTGATGAGCCTGACATATCTTTATACAGTACCTTGTTTTAATTACCAGATATGATTGCAAGGCTTTGTTATCATATGAAAAATTCTTCTCGCCTGTTTTTATGAAATTAGGAATGTGTCGGTTTAGTTATAAATGGACTGGAATTGGTCTGAAACTTTACACATTTATCAAGCTTTACACATTTATCAAATACCAGTAGCTACCTGAAACAGACTGATGTTCTGTGCATATTGCTGACTTACTGTACAAGGTCAAAATTGTATGTACTTACTTATCTACTGATTTTTTCTACTAACCCACTTTTGAGTGAGATGGATCAAGGTTACAGGAACTAACAAAAGGAGAAGTGAAAAAAAGGCGCATGGAGCAAGATAAATGTAAAAAGTGATGGGGGAGGCAAAGGCAACAAGGAAATATCCACATATATACTGTACTTCCTTGTTAATATTTATATTCCATATATTGTAATAATAATAATAAGATACAGTGAACCCTCGAAGATCCGAACTAAAAGGGGGGACCACCTGTCCGAAAAAGCCGATTGCCCGAATCTTCCAGTGAATGTACTAATGTATAAAAATGATAATAATATAAAAAACACCAAATGCAGTACATATCCTGACTACTGGGGTTAGTTTTACAGAATTTTTCCTGTGAAAAAACCATAATTTTGAGCAACATATTACTGTACTCACTTTATAACCAAATGTACTACACTAAAGGACAATTTTTTTTATTTCTTATGCAAACTGTCTGATGTCTCCATTTAAATTATTCACTATCTTGCATGGATTCCAGCAAGTTATATTCTGCTAAGTTTAGTCTGTGACATTTCATAAGGTAAAAATTTTAAACCTAAAACCACCTTCACCCTGGCTGGGAGGTGGGGGGAGGTGGGGTGTTGACACAGCCGGCGGCGAAGGTTACCGAGTGGTATTTATTTGTCATATAGAAAGAGTTTAAGTTTTTTACTTATAAAATGTCAGTGAATTGAGTAAGTAAAATATAACTTATATTGCTGGAATCCTTGTAAGATAGTGATTAATTTGAATATAAAGATGCTATAGTTTGCACTAGACATAACAAATTTAGTAATTAACTTAGTACATTTGAGTACAGGTTTGCCCTTAGGACAATTCTCTCTTTTACTTTTTTCACAATACAGTAGTACACCGATTTACGCGGTCAATTGAACGCACGGGGTACCGCAGAAAGTGAAAACCGCATAAAGTGAACAACAGAACATATGGGATTAATTCCAATAGAGTCTGACCCGACCCCAAAACTCCACTTTTTCCGACACAATACCTATGTTGCAGTAAAAATAACATCTTAATTTTATGATGGTATGCACACACAATTAATATTTAAGAGAAATACAAATTCTGCTTCAGTTCATCATCCGTTTCGATAATAGGACTCCGCTCCCCCTACAGCTCACTATTTCCTTCTCTGAGAATGTTTAATTAAAACTTCAAATTTTTAACGTTTAGTAATAATTAATACCTCAGACTAAAGTTAGGAAATATAATTGACATTTCTGGATTCCTTGCAGGTCAGGGAATATTTTTAATATAAACATCATATATTTTGCACAAAAGATAAAATATTTGCTTTGTGTAAACCAAATTATTACATTAGATCTAAAATTTGTCTGTCTAACGCAAAATCCATGATGTTTATATTCAAAATGTTCATCATATTGTAAGAATTCCAGCCGAGTAATTTGTATGAATTTTATGAGCTAAAACAAATATCTTCAGTTAAAAAAAAAATATTCTTCATGACACTATCTGTCAATCAAAGTACCCCACCTTGCCTCCCCCCCCTCCTCACACTCACGCCAGCTGGGTCGGTCGGTCCCAACCCTACCCCCCACCTTCCCTCCCTACCAGAGAAATGTTTGGGAGAAAACAGTATCTTTACATTTTTAGTAACAAATAATAACTCAGACTAAAGTTAGGATAATATAATTGACATTTCTGGATTCCTTGCAGGTCAGGGAATATTTTGAATGTAAACTTCATATATTCTGCACAAACGATAAAATATTTGCTTTGTGTAAACCAAATTATTACATTAGATCTAAAATTTTTATGTAATGCAAAATCCATGATGTTTATATTCAAAATGATCATAATATTGTAAGAATTCCAGCAGTGTAAATTATATTCTGGTCGGGTAATTTGTATGAATTTTATGAGCTCAATAAAAAATTATACTTCACCCGCGTATATGAGTAGATGCACCGCGGAAAGTGAAAGTCCGGTTCTGGCAAGGTACCGCGTAAATGAGAAATCGCGGAAAGTGAAACCGTGTAAAGCGGGGGAATACTGTATATATTTAGGATAGTGTGTGAATGTAAATGAGTAAAAATAAATGAAGAAAATTACATATATCTTCCCAAAAATATTAGTTGAAAAACTTGTACAGTACTCAATGTACTACACTGAAGGACTAAAATTTTTATCTCTTATGTAAACTATGTGATGTCTATACAGGGTATTCATATTATTTGCTGTCTTGCAAGGATTCCAGCAATGCAAGTTATATTCTGTTAGTTTAATCTGTGACATTTTATAAGAAAAAACACTTTAAGCCTAAAACTTCCTTCACCCTGTTTTGGGAATGCTTCTTAAGGAGGTTTCTGAGCCCAGAACCCCCCAAATTTTTGTCAGAATCTTCCGAAATCCGGATTTACTGGGTCCGGATTTTTTAGGGTTTACTGTATATGGTCCATGTTGTACGAGTATCCATACACTTATCTGTGAGGAGTGTGTTTAGTTTAAGTTAGATTGAGTCTGTAATTTTACAATGATTTCTGTAGATTTGACGATGTGTCTTTTTCTTGAATTCTTTGCTCTTTTTATGCTGCAGGAGGTTTTGTTATATTAAGTGTCATTAACTACCATCCTAAAATTACTGTATTATGGAAAACTTCTCTTGTGTGTGTTTACTATTACCAATTAATGCTGTATACTGCCCTCATTATATGTGTATCATGTCTGACTACTAACTCCCACCCATGTTACCCTCCAGTTTCTGTTCTTGGACCGGGCTGACTTGCCTGAACATACACTCCGTTCCAGTGCCACAAGTCAGAGTCTGACGTCCAAAGGTGACCTCATAACCACCACAACAACCACTTATGTAAAGGCTCCTGAATTACAAGGTACTTATGTTGTTTGTTTTTCATATGTTGTTTGTCATACTCTTCATTCTACTTTCGTAATGATTAGAAATGGTTTGAGTGATTGGTGTTTTGCTTATTTTATTTCTGCCAGTTTAGTCAAGTAAACAGCTTTGATTAAGGCTGTTGCTTGATGGTCTGTCTTAAGTCAAGTTTAAACTATACATCCTAGTAGACTCCTCTTCATGATGAGTACACTGTGTCTATTCTCTGATCCTTAACACTGTCCAAGAATTTTAGTTTCTAATCCATCCATTAGTATTGCTTTGTTATCATTGAAGGATCAGATAATCTTCATTATCTCTTCAATGTACTAGATATTTTTAAGGATGTGTGCAATGGACCTGATTAGGAAGATGAAAGGAAAAAAAGAGTCAGTTGCTACTGCTCTGTCCTTTCAGCATCACTTGAACTTAAGCAATCTGGAACTTTTTTTTTACCAGATATTAGGGGAGAGATTAGTAATGAGGCGATAAAAAACTTGACTGCTAAAGTTCATCTAGACTAGACAAAACACATTGCAATATGTGTTATATTTTAGCCATAAGTCAAACAATAGAACACCTGAAGCACCTTTATTTAGATGGAAAAAGTATCCTATCTTGTAAGAGCCATTGATGTGTGTGTGTGTGTGTGTGTGTGTGTGTTTGTGTGTGCACACACATTTTCTACTTCCAACTTTTGTGCCACTCTAGCCTCTTTTTATTTTATTTTAGATCTTTAAAGACTTCTGTTTGGATAATTAACTCAAATTTGAAGTTGGGCAGATATTTAGACATTAATAATACGTAATAAGAACTAACTTCATTAAGGAAACAAAAGGTGTCTTGTATTTCAGAACTATTGTGTGATTCTTTAGATGATTAAACTTTTCCTTAAAATAACCATACTGTTAAGTACTATACTTTAATAATGACCTCTTGCTTTGAAGCTCTAGAACTAGATTTTTTGCTGTGGCTTTTTATATTGCAAGATTAATTTGATGTGGAAATGGGTCTTACTTGCTCCTCTTATACTATGTGATTAATATAAGAATATATTATACTTTACAATATTTTTAATTCAAAAAATAATTGGAATATTAAAATATAATAAGAATGGATTTGTTTTTAGTAGCATTGAAGTAATTAAGTAAAATACCTAATGAAATATTTAAATCCTTTTCATAAATTTTACTCCTATACTAAAGCTTGTTTCTATACAGTGCACTTTCCGTATATCTGCAAATCATGCTTTGGGCATTTATTAAATGATTTCAGGCTTTCTCAAAATATGTACTGGCTGAATTTTTGCATAATTTTTAGTGATAACCTTTGTGTTGACATCTTATAATCAACTAACTTTTCTTATCTCACCTTCTTATGTGAGACTGGAGCATTGTATTTGTAAACAGTAAGGATAGTTAGGTTCTTGTAAGTGTATTTGAAATGAGTTACAGCTAATGAGTCTGTGCTGAACCAGTTGTCGTTGGAGTTGGAAGTTCAAGTCCAGGAACGTATAGGCGCAGAGAGTCGTACCGCAAGGCCAACAATATTCGTTCAGGTGTGCAGGTGTCATTGCGCATCTCGTAGTTGAGGGATTTAGTTCAGTTCTTAGCAGGACAGTTGTTTGCTATTCTTTGATCACATTAGATGATTTAGTTCAAAATATCTTTATGGAATGTGCTTCTGAAAATTAGTTAAATTCTGCCACCTCATCATCTTTCTTTTTACAAGAGATGGCTGAGGTTATAGTTCTTAAAATGGTCTGTTCAGTTTTGCTTCTTGCGGAGTTAGACTAAGTAGAATTTCAGTAAATCTGTAGAGTACTTGCTATTAGGACACAAGTTTCTCAATGTTTGTAAGTGAAAGAGGACTTCTTGGTGTGGTGTTCTGTAGTTGCTTACAGGAAAACCCAGCACCCAACTTCAACATGTAGATATTAGAAAATACTGGTTTTTAGATTCATATTTAGAATAAACTCCTTATTTGATGTATAAGTAGAAGATACCTGGTAAGTATTCTTAATCTGCGTAACTTGGATTTACAGTAATTCATTAAAGCAGTTGTTGGGACTTAAGGGCTATTAATGATTTAGTGAGATGTTTCTAATATGTAATCTTAATTATCCTTGGACATATGCTTGTAGCTTACACATATTCACTTTAGACCTAGTGTTTTGTTGTCTGATTTAACAGGAGAAAGTTGCACCCTCCAAAAATAAAGTCAGAAATCATATTTATCTGTTGAAAATTATAATACAGTATTTGAATTTCAATATAAAGTTTATTTGATGATTGGGGGATAGGTTGGTGCTAGCTGCATCATGACAGTACTCTTGATTGGGGATCTATGATGTAGTTGAGATTGAGACCATGAACAAGACCATTAGCAATTTTAGCTTTTATGTATCACCTAAAGATTAGCCCCATCAGATAGTTTTGAGTTGCTTAAATTTCAGGCGAGTTAAGCTGGTGGGATGACTCTGTGGGCTCTTCTTCAGGTGATTTATAAAAGCTAAAATTATGAAGGTATTTTTCTTGGTCTCAGCCCTGTTAACCCTCTCGGCCTCAGAGCCTGAGACATATACGTGCATGAAAACTTATGTTCAGTTTCTGAGGTATTTGAGGAAAAATCGTTGAAAAAAAATAATAATTAGGTCTCATTTCACGGCTATGGAATTGTTTTATTAGTTGTAATGGGGGTCTCTTCTAGCGTAAAATTGTCTGAAAATTTTATGAAACCATAAAAAATTTAAAATTCTTTAAATTTAAGCCACTTTTTTCAAGTATAAATTTAAAAAAGTAGGATAATGTTTAGTAACATCTCGATTTCCATTCACATTTTCCTTGTATTATGGTGTTCATTGATGTGTACTATATACCAAAATAATGAACAAAGCATGTAGAATTTTGTGGTACTGTATAAGGAAAAGTAATATAACACAAAAACTCGTGGAATAATTAAATGGCCAGAGCGACACTGGCTTCTTGCTGTGCTGCCATGCACACGATGACCAAGACTGTCTCGGGGAAGGTGATTAGGCCCACACAAAGAAAACGACGTCTGTCAAATGGCGTCCAAAGTTCAGTCCGTTTCACTGAATAGTTTTGAGTTATTTGAAAATATAGCGAGGCTGAGCATAAGTTTTTTGCCTTTTATGTTCGACGCCAGGCTGAGAGGGTTAAGGATCATAGGGCATCTGTTTACTGAAGAGACAGATATGTGTTGTCTTCACTCTTATGCCCGTATCATTAAACAACATCTTCCTTTGAAGAGGGTCGTTGTGTTTCTACCCGAGTTTTAAACTAAATGAGTCCTGAGGGACACCGCAGTACAGTACTTAACGGGATGGTGTGGAGGTAAGATTAACTAACTCCAATATTTTAAATTAATTTTATTGGAGTTAGTTAATCTTACCTCCACACCATCCCGTTAAGTACTGTATCAGGACTCATTTAGTTTAAAACTCGGGTTGAAACACAACGACCCTCTTCAAGGGAAGATGTTGTTTAATGATACGGGCGTGAGCCTTCTCCCACACAGATTAGCCACTACTGCAACGTTGTGTGTTTTGCTATACTGTATTCCCGTCCCAACCAAGCATTACCCGTAAGGAGCATATAGATCCCCACTGGTCATTCATATACTCCACTGTTTCTTGGATGTCCATTCCCTCATATACAATGACTCCTTTACCCCTTCCTTCCATTCTCTTCACAGTCTGCACTTCTTACCATCCACAGCTGAATTATATACACTCTTCACCAAACTAAAACTTCCCAATCTTTCAGTAGGTCAGCTCTACCTGACACTCCCTTTGCTCTTTCATCTCCTTTTTGTATGTATATTCCTTAGTGTTTACATCCTGTCCCTGTATAATGCTCCCAGGCACATTCTTCTTATTACTTCCTCTTGCATCCAGTTTTTATGTTTACATCTATAACAATAATGTCAGCTCAACTGTTCCTCTCTACATCCTCATCTTTGCCATCATTTACTGTTTTCTCTTGCCATACCTTCCTTAATATACCTACTGACTCACTTTCCTTCTCTGCTACTCTTTGATTCATTGTCATTCATTGTTCCATTCCCTGACACCTCCTCTTCATGACAGCTCTTCCATTCCAACTAAGATTTATTTCTGTTTTCCTTTGCTTCTTATTTTGATCATTTAATTGTGTTGAAGTTCACTCTTAAATATTTTATTAACAGTAATTATGGGAGATAAACTTTGATATATTTAACAGTGACATACACAATAATTTACATACAATATACTGTATAAGCCACAGTACAATTGGACCAGGTGATCGAAGAGAACAAGAGTTAATTTGCAGAAAAATAACATTTCAGAAGAGGAAGTAGGGAGAATTATAGTGTACATGAAAACTTAATAATCAGGAGTGGAGCTTAAATACCAGTTAAAGTGATGTAGGGGGTGTGCATGACTGCATGGCAAACTTGAAATAAACCAGTTAATTGGATGCATATAGTATATTTGTGAAGGGAATAGTGTGGCTGAAAGCAGAATGGGGGAGTTAGCCCTTATAACATAGTTTGTATGGTCTATGGTATGAGTGTCATTGATTGTGTGAAGTATGTAATGATATATTTGAGAAACATGAGAACTTGGCAGAGGAAGAGTATGTGTAGATCAGATATCTCTACCGAGGAAAGTTTTGGATTAATTTTTATAGGCGGTGAGAGATTATGAGAATACAGTATAATGTATATACCTGTGAACTGTTAAGAGCCAGAGAGAGAAATGATACATAGTTATATCATTTAGTTTTACTAACTGTATGAGATGTTCCTTAGCTTTGGGATATAAATTATTTGTCTGTTATAAATTTTCATGTTGTATATACGACTTTGTGCAATGTTTAACTCTCCAATTCCTCTCTCTGAACAGATGTTATCGTTAATGGTGGTGATGGGGTTGCAGCAGTGGCGTTAAGGGATATTGAAGAAAAGAAGACTGTAGTTGCTAACAATGCCAGCAAATCTACCATGATCATCCATGCCTCTAGGAAAGTAAGTCATTAACAAAGCATCGAAAAGATTTGGTGTACCTATACTGATCATGACTCATAGTAATGCATTGTCATTGAAAAATTACTTCATTGAACAATGAACAACCTGAAAGGTACTTTAAGGGGTAAATGTTTAGAAATTCCTTGTATATTTTACTTTCTAACAGATTCCTATGAAGGTTGTACAGGCATTTGTAAAAAGAAAGTTTTTGACAGAAAATGTGAAATAATTAACAGTTAACCTGATTAGTATAGAAATTTAATAAATTGTTTATCATAATTTGCAAAAAAAAAAGTACATTTTATACATGTACAGTGAACCCTCACTTTACGCGGTTAATTCAACCCACAGGGTACCGCGGAAAGTGAGAAACACATAAAGTGAACAACATAACATATGGGATTAAATGAAATAGAGACCAGCTGACCCCCAAACTCCACTTTTTCCAACACAATACCTATGTTCTAGTAAAAATAACATCTTAATTTTATGATGGTACATGCACACAATTAATACTTAAGAGAGAAATACAGTCGCCAAGTTAATGTCCATTCAAATAATGGACTCAACTCCCTCCCCCTCTTCTCACACTACACTCGCTGGCTCTTCCCTCTCTGAGAAATTTTGGGGGGAAAACCACTAGATTATTTTAATACCTCAAACTAAAGTTAGGATAATATAATTGACATTGCTGGATTCCTTGTAAGACCAGGAATATTTTGAATATAAATGTCATATATTTTGCACAAAAGATAACATATTTACTCAGAGTAAACATTAGATCTAAAATTTGTATGTCTAATGCAAAATCTATGATGTTTTTATTCAAAATGATCATCAAATTGTAAGAATTCCAGCAATGTAAATTATATTCTGGCCGGGTAATTTGTATGAATTTTATGAGCTAAAACAAATATCTTCAGTTAATAAAAAAAAATATTCTTCACACCGTGCCAGATGGTCGGTCGGTCCCTGCCTCCCCCCCACCCCCACCAACCCTCCCTACCAGATAAATGTGTGGGAAAACCAGAATATTTACCTTTTTACTAATAAATAATACCTCAGACTAAAGTTAAGATAATATATTTGACATTGCTGGATTCCTTGTAAGACCAGGAATATTTTGAATATAAATGTCATATATTTTGCACAAAAGATAACATATTTACTCAGAGTAAACATTAGATCTAAAATTTGTATGTCTAATGCAAAATCTATGATGTTTATATTCAAAATGATCATCAAATTGTAAGAATTCCAGCAATGTAAATTATATTCTGACCGGATAATTTGTATGAATTTTATGAGCTAAATAAAAAAATTATACTTCACCCGAGTAAAGGGGTACACACACCACGGAATGTGAGCATTCTGGTTTCGGCAGGGGTAAAGGCAGGGGTACCGCGTAAACTGGAAATGCGGAATGTGTTGACTGTATAATGATATAGCACCATTTACCCGCCTGTTTACAATTTAGTTTTTAAACCAATAACTTGAATTTTCCTGCTCTAGTGAGCTAGGAAGAGGAAGGTTCCTGTTAATTTTATGAACACTGGGTCAAAGGTCATGGTCATTATTGCCTTTGCTGATAAACATGGCACTGCACTAATGACTTTGTATCTATGGAGAGAAAAAATCCTACAATTTTTTAACCTATGGGGTCACATGTCAAGGCCATTACTCCAATGACTAGAATTTTTGTTACCAAACCTTAAAATGAGGTACCATAGCACAGCACAGGTACAGTATCAAGGAACATTATAGTGTAAAGGCTGGTGTAGAGAAAAGTCCCTAAAGATTAAAAGATTAATTATTATTTTTTTTTTTTACGAGTATTAGCCCACCCGGGCACAGGTCACTGACCCACATCAGGGCCGGGGGAATAATGATAATAATAACTTTTATTAGTACAGTATTATCATTCCAACAATTAATAAAATTAATAGCAAATTAATAAAATAAAAATAAAATAATAATAATAATAACCATAAATAAGTACAAAAACGAAAAAATAAATCATGAGTGAGAAACGATATACATTATGTTTGTTGTGTTGTCCAAGTAAGCGAAACAATTGAGACCCTGCAATTGTGTGTAAATGAGGCAGAAAGTTAGATCAGCAACCTGGGACTGGTCACAATTTTTGTCATGCCATATGGTAGCAGGGTCTACTATTAGACAACACATTGTGCTTCCAATATCTTCCCAGCCGGTATTACCTACCTAGTTGGTAGCTGCCTATTACCTACTACTACTACTACTAATCCCGGGCATTAGGAACCTTGAGTACAGAGACAGGTTAAAGCATCTTAATTTGCACTCCCTCAACAGACATAGAGTGAGGGGCGAAATGATAGAGGTGTATAAATGGAAGTCAGGGCTAAACAAAGGGGACATTACAAAGGTACTCAAACTATCTAACTAGGAGCGAACTCGTAACAATGGTTTTAAATTAGACAAATTTAGATTTAGCCGCAAAATAGGTAAACATTGGTTTGAAAATAGAGTAGTGGACGAATGGAACAAGTTACCAAATATCATCATAAACTCGAATATGCTGGATAGCTTCAAACATAGGTTGGATGGATATATGAGCAATAGGGGTTGGGTGTAAATGGAACTGTTCAGTATGGGCCAATAGGCCCGCTGCAGTTTCCTCCATTCTTACATTCTTATGTTAAAAGTCATTGCTATTAAAACCAGAATTTGAACTCTAGTTGCCATTCACTCATGACTATAATGTTGCATAAACACCATGCCCCTGGGTAGGAAGGCCACTTCTGGATTTAGGGTCATGTAATTAGGCAAAGTCAGGTTTTTACGTATTATGTGTAATTTGTGGTGCATTCCTCTTGTCTGAGGGTGTGGCAGCTGAGTGGGTACAGGACCCCTCCTGTTCTAAGTGTCACTGGTTCATGAATAGGGCATCACCAGTCCATCCAGCTGTGAATGGTTACCTAAATTTATTTTAGATTAGGTGAGTAATGAAACTTTAAGTGCTGGTCCAGCTAGAATACCACTTTGTTTACTGAAAAAAAGGTTTAATCTACAGTGTTCTGTATCTGTGATGCCCCTAATGGGATGTCAGAGTTATGGGACCCACTTTTGCTTATATCACTCTTTTTGACAGTGTTCCTCATAGAAGGAAACGCCCTTTTTGAATCCTTAACATTTAGGTTTTCTCAACATGGTACCATACTGAGGAAATAACATGCAGAGTTTCATATTATTTCAATACAGTACAAGCACAGTTATGATTGTGATTGTGATAGCATTAATTATTTTGCTATACTTACAGTATAATGAAAATAGCATCTCTTCCTACATATATACATATGCAAAAGGTTGCCAGCTTTTGTGGGTTCAAAAATCAAGTAAATTTTTAAATAGTGTATGTTTCTAGAATAGAAAGTCTGTCATTGAATTCACTTAACAGTAAAAATCTATGGATGAAAGACTACTTAGCTGCCATTATGGCTGAAGATATGACTCTATGTCAGTAATGCCCCTGGATAGCCTGAGTTCTTCTTCTCACACTCCAGTCAAACCTCTTACAGGCTTTTGCAGATTTAGCAGGAATAAGAATTTTTTTATGAAGAGAGACTCAGGGTCCTTTTTCCTTATAATGGAAGACAATGAACTACTGTATACATTGTTTGGATCTTTTTGAAATGCATGGTGTCATTCATTCATTTGGCTTATGCTTTATTCCTATAGAATGCTGTACACAAAATAGAAAAAGTTGGTTTATAATTGTAACATAGAATTACATTTCATGGTTTTGCTGTATGATGTAGGTTTTTCAAGTATTTATTCTTGTTTCATTTAATGTTTTCTTCGTTTATTTATTTTTTTTTTTCAGTGTGGACATGAAATACAGTATATAAACTTTCACCATTTAAATTATTTTCGTTTTGTTTTTATACAGTATTACAGTACTGTACTGTACTAATATTATTGCTTTTTTAAATGTGTACTTCAGAGGGACATTTATATCATGTATGAACTGATAATTTATGGAACTCTCAGAAAGGGCCATGGATTGTAAAGTTTAGTTATGTAAAAGCTGTTGTTTATGTTAATATTAACAGACGTCCACGTAATGCACAGTCACCCACAAAATTCCTGTCGCCTTTCCTCCTGAACCACAAGATTCAAGACTCGTAAATCTGAAGCATTTATTTACAGAATAATTCATCTATGTCTTACTGCTTCATGTTCAATAGTCTGAATCTTTGGATTTGTGAGTTACAGGGTATTGGTTAAGGAATCTGGTCTAATGATATAAAGGTCTCCAGACTTTGATATTCTCCACATCTTTTAAGATTCTCTCTTTTGTCCTACTCATATACAAAATATTTTTCACCACCCTTTTGCATGATGGTTATTTTTTATTTTTGAAAGCTTGTTGTATGATTACTAATAGCCATTTTAGTTCTACCAGTGTTTGAATTGTAACATAAAATAACCTGTTTGCTTGCTGTACATTCTCTCAATCATCAGGATCAGGTGCAGCTATATAACATAGTGTATAGTGCATGTAATTACAAAGCTTCATGTTTTATAAATTTGTTGAAAAGGGATTGATTTTTACTAATCATTGTAAAAATCAACATCTTCACATTCCAGTGCCACTAACAATGCTCTGTCTGACTCTGTTCACAGTTGTTCAACATAGAAGGTGTCTTGTTTACCTAAACCTCCTCCCCAAGAGTATGGCATAATTTTCATTGTTTTCTTTTTTTATGCATTCAAGGAAGTTACCAAGAAAGTTATCCAGGTAAGATTTGTTTGATATATTTTGTTTTAATATAAATCAGTACCTGTAGTGTGAATATTATAATTTGTTGTTAATCAAAGTGATGTGGTAGACAGTATTTCAAAAAGGCACATTAGTTTTTTGTTTTGTTTATGAGGAAGTATGGATGGTATGCCAATACAGTGGTCCCTCAGTTAACGAACGGTTCGATTAACGAAATTTCGGTTAACGAATTAGCTCCCATAAGGATTTTCAGTTCGGTTAACAAACAAAACTTCAATTAACGAAAGTCTTACGACAAACACGTTTTGCTGTGCGCATCAGCTGATCAGCTAGTCTGGCAATACAGTAATTGGTTCTATGTTTACATTTGTTTCCAGTGAAGTAAATAGGGGTGCTGGTGGTAGAGCGGTACCGTTCTTGCCTCGCAAGCAAGATGTCACGGGTTCGATTCCCGGGCCGGCGGAAGTTGTTTGGACACTCTTCCTAGTCCCCTTGGTTCCTGTTCACCTAGCAGCAAAGTAGGTACCTGCTGTAAATCGAAAGTTGCGAATTCGTATTCAGGGACAAGTTGTTGGAGCTTCCAATAACTTGCTTAGACATAAACCATTGACTCTTCAGGCTTCTACGCCCTCAACTCTTCAGGCTTCTACCCCCTTAACTCACGAGACATAAGGCAAGCATGAACTTACCATGCTTCCCTGTTGGGCGCTGTAAATGCTTCTACACTTCACCTTACACAAGGATGTAGGGAAGGGGGGTGCCCAATAAATGAGAAAAAAAAAGGTGAAGTAATTATCAAGAAAGTTGGTCTCTTGAATATTTCTGCATTTTTTATATTAAGATTATTGGTCATTCTGAGATTTAGTTAACATATTGATAATATAGACAGTACAGGTAACAGCTTTTGTGCGCCCATCAGCTGATTGAATCGCCCAACAACGCTTCTCAATTTAACTTTGTTTAGTGGAGTGAACATCGATTTTGTTGGTCTCTTGAATATTTTTGCATTTTTACATTAAAATTATTGATCACTCTGAAATTTAGTTAACATATTGATATAATATACAGTGCAGAAATTATTATGAAACATGAAGAAGGCATTAGAACCAATGCACTCTGTAAAGAATATGGCATGTCATCATCGACTGCCTCTACAGTCAGCTGTTTGATATGTAAACAAAACTGTCGGGAATACGACATACACACCTCAAAGTAAGTTAAAATACAGTATTCTATTGTTATTTATTTATTATTGTACAGTATACTCTACCGTACAGTACTGTACAGTATTTAGTTTATATTTAATGTTTTGTTAATTCTATTACCGGTATACAATTCTTTGTATGTACTTTTTCTGTGAGTTGGAACCAATTACCCAATATCCCATTGAAATAATAGATTCGGTTAAAAAATTTTCAGTTAACGAACTACTCTGTGGAATGAATTGTGTTCGTTAACTGAGGGACCACTGTATATATATTTGAAAAGTATATTTCTTACTTTTTCAATTAGTTTATTGTATATGGAGTGTATATGTTTGAGTGTATGAGTGTAAACTAATATAGTATCAGTTTGTGGGAGTGGAGATGAATGGAGATGGTGTACCTGAAAATAATTCCACTTATCATAGATATCTTGCTGCTGAACAGGCTCTGTGAGGAGAGCTACTCAGGCTAGCGAGGTCTCAGAGATTGCTTTTGTTAGTTCTTAAAAGTATTATGTGAACATCATAGCTCTCTGATTTGTTCCTTGGTAATTCCCACAACATACCAGTAATGACACTTATGACTGAAGTTATTGGACAGATTTTGCTGTTGTCTTAGTCTTTCTGAAGTAGATGGCTTTATTTTCCTGTGTTAGTTTGGGTTCATAGCCAAAAACTTCAAGATACAGTGTATTTACATTGTCATGATTTAATCGCTAAAGATTTTTTTTTTTTTTTTTAGAATTATTTGAGCCCAGTGAGGAGATTAGATCCCTGTTCTTTCTAGGCAGCCTCTGCACTTGGAGGCTCTACCTCTTGTCTGTGTATAGTGGCTTTGATTTCTAGAGAGTGCTGGAATTCAGTGATCTGTGACATAATGACTTGGTGAAAAGTTTTATCATGTGGAATGGCGCAGTATTTGCTGCCACAGTTATGCTTTAAAGACATTCCAAGATGCAGTTGACTGAATGGTTTTTATCAGTTTATTTAGTAAAGGTAATTGTTATTCTTTTGCTTTTTTTATTTATTAATTATTTTTACATTGAATGATTAGTAAAAACAGCCCGAGAATGTTTAGAGTGGAGGACTGTGGTCGCCAACCCTCAGATAAATTAATTTTTTTCCTAAAAACCAGTTTTTATGATATACAGCTGCTCCCCAACTTACGACGGGGTTAGGGACCCAAATCCAGGTCGTAAGTCTAAAATGCTTAAATAATACATAGAAAATCTAAAGTGGGTGTCTCTTTTTCTTCTCAGCACCACAAAACTCTCACTTTTAAGCTGCCAGCCATTTTAAAGTGAATTACAAACGAAAATTTTGTCAGTACACAGCGCAATCACTGACGTTGGGACTCGAAAATACGTAATTTGAAAAATTTTTGGTACAACTTGAGGGGGTCGTAAGTCGGGGAGTAGCTGTAGTCCAGAATGTGACGTCTAGCTTTATACCTAGGTATGTAAAGCCTAGCATTAACTCGCCAGGCCAACATACAGGCAATTAAAACATCTATAATTACTTAAATACGTAATATTAGAAAGACATGTCGCTACCTGGCATTTAATTGCAATTCTCAAAACCCCCTCCCGCACCCTCCATCACACGCAGTGCTACCATCATTTCTTGCCCTAGAGCGAGCAGTAAACAAATGTAAAATCTCGAGGAGTGGAGATGGGTGGGATGTCGACGTCGCATTGTGGACTACAGTATATCACAAAACTGGTTTTTGTTCAATCCAGAATGCGACGTCTAGCTTTGATTACCCGAGCAGGAGGTAGAGAGGGAGGTGATATTGCGCATAAGGCTCCACTAGCTTAGGTCCAGATTATAATTATAAACTATTTGGAATATTTTCCAATATTATGAACATTTAACGGAAGGTAAAATGTTAATTTACATATCCCAATTAGGATACAGTTGTACCCCACTTAACGCGGTCAATTGAACCCAGAGGGTCCCGCGTTAAGTGAAAACCGCGTTAAGTGAATAACAGAACATATGGGATTAATTCCAATAGAACCCAGCCCGACCCCCAAACTCCACTTTTTGACGACAAATAACTATGTTGTAGTAAAAATAACATCTTAATTTTATGATGGTACATGCACACAATTAATACTTAAGAGAAATAGAGAAATACAGTCGCCAAGTTAATGTCCATTCAAATAATGGACTCAACTCCCTCCCCCTCTTCTCACACTACACTCACTGGCTCTTCCCTCTGAGAAATTTTTTGGGGAAAACCAGGTATAGTAATAAATAATTCCTCAAACTAAAGTTAGGATAATATAATTGACATTGCTGGATTCCTTGTAAGACCAGGAATATTTTGAATATAAATGTCATATATTTTTCACAAAAGATAACATATTTACTCAGAATAAACTTTACATCAAAAATTTGTATGTCTAATGCAAAATCTATGATGTTTATATTCAAAATGATCAGCAAATTGTAAGAATTCCAGCAATGTAAATTATATTCTGGCCGGATAATTTGTATGAATTTTATGAGCTAAAACAAATATCTTCAGTTAATAAAAAAAAAAAAATATTCTTCGACACTATCTGTCAATCAAAGTACCCCACCTTGCCTTCCCCCCCTCTTCCAACCGCGTGGTCAGTCCCAACCCTCCCCCCACCCCCCACCAATCCTCCCTTCCAGAGTTTATAACATTTAGTATTAAATAATACCTCAGATTAAAGTTAGGATAATATAATTGACATTGCTGGATTCCTTGTAAGACCAGGAATATTTTGAATATAAATGTCATATATTTTGGACAAAAGATAACATAGTTACCTAGAGAACAATTTTTATCTAAAAATTGTATGTTTAATGCAAAATATATGTTGTTTATATTCAAAATGATCACCAAATTATAAGAATTCCAGCAATGTAAATTATATTCTGACCGGGTAATTTGTATGAATTTTATGAGCTAAAACAAATATCTTCAGTTAATAAAAAAAAAATAATTCTTCACGGGGTAACAGATGGTCGGTCGGTCGGTCCCTCCCTCCCCCCCACCCCCCACCCCCCACCAACCGTCCCAAGGAGATGTGTGGGATAACCACTAAATTTTAATAAATAATACCTCAAACTAAAGTTAGGATAATATAATTGACATTGCTGGATTCCTTGTAAGACCAGGAATATTTTGAATATAAATGTCATATATTTTGGACAAAAGATAACATAGTTACCTAGAGAAATATTTTTATCTAAAAATTGTATGTTTAATGCAAAATATATGTTGTTTATATTCAAAATGATCACCAAATTATAAGAATTCCAGCAATGTAAATTATATTCTGGCTGGGTAATTTGTATGAATTTTATGAGCTAAAACAGGCAGTCAGGCAGGGTGGGGGGTGGTGCGAATCTAAAAATAGCTCTTGAGCCGGACACTCACCGCGTATATGATGAAAAATGCCGCGTTAAGTGAAAGTTCAGCTTTGGCAAGGCACCGCGTATATGCGAAAACGCGTTAAGTGAAAGCGCGTTAAGCGGGGTAAAACTGTACTCACTTTATTTTGATGAGGAAGAAGAAGGTCCTGATTGTGGAGATTAACTAGGTGGGGGAGGGGACCCCAGCACCACCACATGTGAAGCATTTTTCAGAGATAGATGAAGGTAGCTGTTTTGAAAGGTTTTGACGATTTCCAAAAGCCCACTTCTTTGATCTGACTAAGGCTCATATGCCGCAGAAGGACGACAGACCCTGCATATTTCTTGGTGTCATGTGCCAAATTTTTTTTGCAGGGTCTGCTTGACTCACTAACTGAGATTAATATTTTGTCACTTGACTTGG